ACCAGTCCAAGTTTAGACTGCCGCGGGACCCGCGGCTACGATGTACGGCGTCAGTGATCCTTGTCTTATTATTCTGAGTTGTAGATCTCTGTCTTCTCTTGAGCTTGAACGTCGTGTGTGACCTTCATTGACCTTCCACATTATGCGATAATGCAGTTTGGACATTATGAAAATCATCCTTTTAGGGCCAATCTGCTGCGACCGAAGATGAAACTTCACGGGATTTGGATGTTTGGCTGTGAACTTAGCTTGGTCACTGATCAGCTTCAGAACTTCAGAACTTCATTGACAGGCTCACAAGACAGTGGACAGTTTTTGAGATTGGAAGCTTAAAACTGTCCATGGTCTTGTGACTAACGGTTGAGGCTACTCTTTGGAACTTCGACTCATGGACGAGAATTGTCCACATGGGAGCGCAACGATTACAGAATTGGTGGCCCAGGGAATAGAGAAAGTTGCCGAATTGTGCACTCAGCGTGGGACACGCTTTCCTGGCAGCCTTCTGCTGCTGGGAGACAACACTGTGCGGGAAATGAAAAATACCTTCCTCATGAGCTACCTGAAGACTTTGGTGGGGCAGAGGAAATTCCGCATGGCGGCCATGCTTTATTTGAGGAAATCACATACGCACGATAAGATCGACCAGGTCTGGGGTCTACTTAGCAGATGCATCTCACATGAAGACACACTATTGGACCCAGAATCAACCATCAAAGTGATCACCAGAGAACTGCAAAGGCCAGGAATCCGGCAGTGGATTGGTTCCACCACGCATGTGAACGTGACCAAACTTGATGCTACAAGGAATTGGCGTGAGCATTGGAAACCCCAAGGAGCCAGGCTTGAAGGCGGACTCTTGGAAGATTCGAAGGCGAATCACTCGTTCATCTTTCTTTGCCGCAAAGGCCTGGTTTGAGCATACTTGGTGGGTCTCTACAATTGCAGCTTTTTGTTTGTACTTGTTCATTTGCACGCCGCTTGCAGATTTGCCGGAACTTCTGGCTTCCAACGTGGACTCAGCCAGCTGGCGTGGTGCTGCATTCCCCGAAGATGTAGTTTGCTTGGTGAAGAGATACATTTGTTCATCAGTGTTGAACCAACCGCCTCTTCTTGTTCTGCCACAGAGCCGAATTTCTGCAGTTAGCCTCATTCCTCAACCCAAGATACCTGTCTGCAATCCGTATTATAATGTCAATGTCTGCATTACATATTTATATACGTTCAGTGGAAGCCCTTTTGGAATGCGTCATGACCATGTGTTTTGAGTAGTGCCTCAGGATGGAAAACAACCACAGTGAGCAGTTCAGCAACCAGTGTTTGAAGTTGGCCACTGCCATTGCTTCTGCATATGGAAGGTCTTATGATCCAGCTGTATCCTATTTGAAGGATCTTGCAGCCAACTCGTTTTGGAGGAATGCAATCTTGCCGCCACTTCCTTGGCACGAGGCTCCAGGACGAGCTGGCCACATCGGTGACCCACAGTTCAATTTGCACCAGAGTGTGTTGGATTGTATTGCCCCTTCCCAACCGCTGAGAGCGATTTTCTCTGGCGTTCGTGGATAGCTTGTCATTCAGCTGGGAAGCTTCAGCTGGGAAGCATTGCCGTCCATCAAGACCAGTCAAATGTCGCAGTTTGATGTGTGTTTGTGATTCATTTGCGTTGGTGTCACGTTGTTTTTGTGATTCATTTCGACCCATTGCCAGCAATCAGCCCCTCAGGTTCCTCTGCTCTTTGAGGAAGGTCCAAAGCCCCAGGGAGGGTTGGGAGGAGTAAGCCTATTGTGTTTCTGAGTCCTGGAATCCAGGAATAATTCAGAAACACAAGAGTCCTCTTGAGCTGGTAGGCTTTTCAAACTTGTGCTTTTATATGTCAATGAGCGCTCGGGTCTTGTATGTGCTTTTTGTGACCACATCTCGGGACATCATCTTGTTCAGAAGGGGACGCATGCTCTGAGGTCTTCGCTGGGCAGCTCGGGGGCCTGAGAGATGTTCTGAGGTAACAGGGGTGTGATGTCTTCTCAATGTGATTCAATCTTGTGAGCCATGGGAATTTGAAACAACAAACATGCTAACTAGTCCAGAGGTGTGTTTAAAATGTAATACATGTTAGTTTACGGCTTGTTGACTTGACATGAATGCATTTCACCACATTGCCGCAAAATCGATGCACTTTTGATGAGCCGCGTCTTGAAACCGATGTAGTTTCGTTCTATGCACGGCAGTTTTCGATGTACTTTTGTTTGCCTGCCACCCAAATCCGATGCACTTTGGATTGGCCTTGCTAGGGATTCGATGCACTTTTGGTTCCGCTAACTGGAAAATCAATGTCTTGTCACTGCAGGTGCGGTCAGCCTGCCAAAAGTCGATGTAGTTGGAGGCTCGCGATACGTTGATTTTTCATGACCGGCAGGTGTGAAACCAAAAACGCGCATTGATTTCTTTGTGGGTTTGAAAAAAATCGATGTAGCTGGAGGCTGCAGGTGCATTGAAACTGGTATGTTTTGGTGCTGCTCATTGAACCTAGATATAGATTTGAAGATTAGATTCAACATCAGGCATCCTCTGACGCTAGAATCAATGTAACTGGAGGCTGCAGATACATTGACTTTTCATTTGAGATTGGAAAAAATCAATGTAGGTTTTTGAGTTGAAACGTGATATCTTATGAGCGCTTGTGAGTTGAAACATGATATCTTATGGGCGCATCCTGGCTCACTTAGAGCTTTTCCACTTTTGGCAGGGATTGTCGTTGGCAGGGACTGCCACTGGTCACTCGAGCGCTCGCAATGGTCACTGTGAAAGCACTGGAAGCTGCCAAACTCAAGCTGAAGTCGGAGCAAAAGGATGCGAAAGGTGGGTTGGCCATCAAGTCAGAAGCCAACCCTTCACCTTCTAAGAAGCTGGCGACAGATTTTGGGCGGAAGATCAAAAATCTGAAAGGTGACACTACACTCATCAAGGATTGGATTGCATGAAGATTCTCCTAAACACAAATGCCTTTGCAATTAGCAAGCTAAATTGAAAATACTCATACAATATTATTTTTGTGTCTGCTTCCAAACATACGGTGCATTGCAATTCCTTGCGTTGGAAAAAGCAATTGTTTTTGAGATTGGTTTTTTGCATTCCAAGAGATGGTGAACCACATTACGCTATACAGCACCGAAGGATGCAATTTGGATTGTGCGCACCCAGCCCAGCTTGTGTTGGATGCCTTGTGTGGGGACAACAAGGATGCTTATGCACAGCAATTGCAAGACTGGTTCGATGCCTATTCCACTAAGCGCGGTACAAAAAACAAGGGATTCAAAACCATTGAGTCCTGTGTTCCTCAGCTGCTGTAACATCCAAGTGAGTGAGTTGAAGCCATCTCCAAAAAAATCCTCTTGCTCTTGAGGCTGTGGATGAATCAGTGGCAGACGACACAATCAAGCTCCCGCTCACTGCTTTGAAGCCAGGGCCCAAACAAGTTTGCTGCATGTCAGAGTCAGCCATTTGATCAGTGACTAATGCAAGCTTCGAGGTTTGACGTTCCTGAAGATGGCTTTCCTTCGATCGAAGACTGGACCTTCTGCTTCACTTCGGTCTTGCTGGATGGCTTGGAGCTCACCCGTGAGCCATTAGATGTCAGTGTCTGCAGCTCAGTCTCTAACACATGCCTGTGCAAACAATGTCTGTGGACTTCTGTGAGTTGGTTGTGCAATGATTGCGCTTTCAATTTTGTTTAAATAGAAACATAACTTTGCTGACTGTTTCCGGCTTCTAAGGTCCCAGCTTTCAACGGTTCTTTGGCAGCATTTGGGTGGGTGACAAATCTTGGGCATGACATCCCGAAAACTCAGCTCTATGATTTGAAGTTTGGGGCTCAAGTTTGCCATTTGGGCAAGTTCCCTTGACTCTGACCCCATTGTGCATCATCATTGCATACACTCATACACATAGTCAATATAGACATTGTCATTTTTTACGTGCGCATACATTGAATAGTCATCTTCTCTTCTGCGTTGACATGATGGGCGGCGGCTATGATGGTAATGGCTCCGCTGCTGCCATGAATGCGGCTGCTGTCACACGTGAGCACAGGGACTTGCTACGCTTTATGTACCAGGTGACAGCCAAAGGAGGCGGCAAGTCATACCACCAATGGTCAGAGGAATGGAAAGGTGCCATGACACGATCCCGCACCGTTCACGCCAACGCTTGTGAAGGAGAATGGGAACACCGCTCTGGCAAAAACAACACTACGGAATGGAGGTGGGTGCCAAAGGATGAGAAGCGGCTTGATTGGCAACAATGGAGCTGGGGATCGTCTTCGGCGGCGTCAGCGCCTGTGGAGACATCGGGTGCATCGGGGCCGGACAAAGATTGGGATTGGTGGCATCATGGCTGGGACGGCACCGAGTGGGGCGCTTCTGGGGAGCCTGCCTATGTTCAAACTCACGGCGGGGTGAGTGAGCAGCAGTGGGCAGAAGGAGAGCAATGGGCAATTGAGCTGGATGAGGCCCAGGAGAGCATGGATGCAGCGCGGGCCAAAGCAAAGCCGCCGAACAAAATTGGTGAGGGCATGGCCTATGAATGATTGCCTTTCACATGGCCAAAATGGTCTGTGGTGGGCCCTGCTCAGCTGTTTGACGCTGTGTGCACAATAGCCGGAAAGACTGTGGGTCTTCTAGCATCAAAAAACCTTCACTTGCGATGCCTGGGTGGGAGGGCTTTTGAAATTGAATGTGCAGTCATCTTCAATCAGAAATATTTTGTGAGATTTGAGTCTTGGTTTTTGAGTTTGAGATTACTATATCGTTTCTACATTGAGCTGCTACTGAGTCTGTCATTTTTGTGTGCGAGTTCACTCGGTTGAGATTTGACATCACTTTTGTGTGAGCCATCATTGATCATTTTTGCTGTGCTTTTGTGTCATTTTTGCTGTGTGATGCTTGAGCACTCTCAACCCATGCTTTTCCATCTCAAGTTCTGAGAAGCTGCAGCTTTCCCCCTTCTGCATGGACACTGTGAAGGGGTGGACGAGGGCCACCGTGGTGGCGTTCATCGCCTTGGCAGCCTCGGAGTTTGATGTCAATGACGAAGGCCACATGGCTATGCTGCAGCCCTTTGACAAAGTCCTGGACCGTGCGTGGCTGATACCTATGCACGCTTCTCGGCTTTATATGTTGATGGGTGGCGGGTTGCTGAGGGTGGGTTGCTGTTTCAATCAGCTCAACTGCTTTTGTCAAACAGCTCATGGTCCAACAGTTGACATATGCATGGGGTAGGTGCAGGTACCAACAACTTGATTGACTTTCATTTGGTTGCTGCAACTAAGTTGTCCCTCGGGATGAGCAAGGATGCCCAAAGCTTCAGGAATCTGAGCTTGTCATTCAGGGAAACTCAAGCCCCTTCGGTGCTCCAGATGGCATTGAGGTTCAGTGCCATCATGGACCGTCAGGCGGCTGCAGGCATGACGGGCACGACTGAGATTCGGCTGAAGCGGGTGATTGGTGAGTTCAATGCCTCTCCGGGTCTCCACAGCAAGCACCAACTAGATCAAGACCGGGAACGGACCATTCTCAATCTCATTGTTGGCTCCAGCAAGGACTTTTGATTTGAGCTGCTGTTGTTTGAGGTGGTTTCAAATTTCAAGTGGGTCAGGAGTTGTTTTGCCTTTGTGTGTGGCCAATACCTTGTTTAGCGGAAAACTCTGTAAATCACTATATATTTATATATATACATATAATGTACATATTCCAATTTTCAATCTTCACAGGAAGCCAGAGAGATCATGACCAATCATCTGGCATTCACGAAGTGGCGTGATTCAGCATTTTCGGCAGAGCAGCTGAAATCCACCCGATGGCTTTTGAACGCAAAGCCAAAGAATGTTCCGGAGAACATGCGTGATCTGTTGACAGTGACTCCGCAAGCGCAGGTTATGCTCATGCAGCTGCGCATCCATGTGTTCACCGCGGCTACAAGGCGCTTGAAAGGATCTGCCAAGAACAGAGCTCGCGCGAGTGTGGAAGAATTCGAGAAGCTGGTTGATTTTGCTTGCATCTTTTCCCAACTTCGGCTGGAAGCCAAGAAGGTGTCTTCAGATTCTGGTGTTGATGCCAAGTTGATGGAAGCATTTCTGGCCAAGCATTTTGTCACAAATGGCTACAGGTTTATTTCCTTATCAGGTTCATTGTCACGGGTTTATCTGTATGACTTATGAAAACATATATATATATATTTACACTGAGGGGGTGGAATTTGTTCAGTTTTGGTGGAACGTTTTGAGCTTTCTGATTTGCTGCTTCTTGTTCGTGCTTCGATTTGGTTTCTATGGACTGCCAATGGCTGAGGGATTACTTCTCTGATGTGGAGGCTTGCGTCACCAGCAAGAATGCGAACTTTCGGCTGACCAGTTTGACTGTCTGGGAAGACATTGTCCAACCTCCTGCTTTGCCGGCGTGTCTTCGTGAAGAAGACTCCGCAGATGCATTGGCTGCGCAGGAGAAAGCTGCCGCAAGCCGCTTCCATGAAGTGAAGATCAAACTTGCCAGCGATTGCACTGCTATGGCGACCTACAACAGTGAGAAGACCAAGAATGCTTCGAAGGTTCATGTCCTGAAGGTGCTTCATGAAAAAGGTCAGCTAGCTGCTGGGAAGCAGTCCTTTTGCAGCATTAGAAACACTTGGCTAAAACTGCTGTGAGACATCTGTGGGTTTCTTTTGTGAAAGATTGATTGTATGTTCAATTTGTTCTATACCATTCTTATTAGAATCATTGCCCCTCAAATCCCATGGTGGTAGATGAGTTCATGAAGAACTCCGCCTGGATGGGGTTGGTGGGAGATATGAATATCCCAGCGG